TCTAATTATAGATATGGCGATTTTCTGCTTAGGTTTGTAAAATGGAGAAAGGTATGATTTTTTTTATAGATTTGGATATTATTTTAAATAGATCTAAAGCCACTTGTTTAAAAGAGCAGGTTGCTGTAGCTGCTATGGGTACAAAGTGGTTATCACACATTAGGTGTGAGTATTTTATATTTTTTAGAGATTCGGCTTTGTTAAGGGGGTCATCTCCATTATTAGATGGAGCCATGGGATCAATGCAGGTAAAATCCAACATTAAAGGCTTTCACATGAAAAAAGGTACAACGGTTTTGCCATCAGGGCGTTTTTTATCTAAAGAGGATGTAGGTTCTAAAATACAAGGAAAATTGGCTTTATTTAAAAAAGAAGCTATTATTGCATTTATTTTATCATGTCGGCTGATTTTTGATATAAATTTACAGTGGAGATCGTGTCTCCCATATGCGTCTGCCGATTGAATACATTTAATGCAAATATAATGGTTTAGGAAAGTACGCCCAAGAGTAAATTGATTGCATAACAAAAAGCGTCGTTATCTATTAGCTGGTTATTTAAAATGCTGGGGTATTAATCTAACCATTCATGGCCAGAGTTGTTGAAATTAAAAGATCTTAGGAGGGATTTATATTGGTGATCATCGCTCAAGTTGAGCAAGGAACGAGATACCAATCCTTGATCCCAATCTTTTTGTTTCATTGAATCTGGTGGGGCGGTGTTTGGTATATTCCAACAACGTAAGGCTTCATCTAATAAATTATCTTTATTGATGGTAATAATTTGCGAGATAATATTTTTTACTGATAAGGTTGATGAGATGAAGGATACAAGGGCTATACTTAATGCCGATCTTAGGCCTAGTCCTCCGGATTTACAAGGGAGAGTTGCTTGAAGCTATGAGTTAGAATCGAGTTTGATGTTTAATAACTCTGTCATCATTTGTAGTATCTTTTGTTCATATTCTTTTATGAATTTCAAAAGAGAAGGCACCAGAAGTTTTTAAAAAATACTGGATTTGTGGTATTAAAAGGGCGTTTTTGAGAATGTAATATGTTTGATGGATGGGTAATTTTTTTAATATCAATAATTTGGGGAATAGTGATTGAAGGTGATTAAAAAATTAAAAACTCCATCTGCACCTCCCAATGGGGCTCCTAATATACTGAAATCTTGTAAGGGTGTCCGTCTAAAGTTATCTAATATGGTGTCTATTGGAGGCGGAGAAGGATTAATTTTGCATTTTTTTATATTTAAGGATAAATTAAGTTCATCAAAGTGTTTGTTGATTATATCTAGACAATTCTGGAAGAAATGGTCGACGATATAGTACAATCGTCAAGGTACCAAACGTGTAGATTGAGTTTGCATGAAAGAGCAATATCACTTATTAGGTGTTTAAGGGTATAGCAAAAAGTAGTGGTCCTAATGAGTCACCCTGTTGGAGGCCTTCTGCAGAATTAATAATATAATCGTTAAATTTGAGTAAGGAAGAAGCTAAGATGGATGTAATTGTGGTAGTCAGGGAATGTTTCCAAGAAGGTATCGATCATTTTATTCCTATTAATTGAATTAAAGGCATTGGATATGTCTGGTTTTGCAATATAATCTTCAGGTTTAAGGTTGGATAAAACTAGTCGACTGCAATGAATTGCGGCTTCGCTGCCTCCTTTTACTCCAAATCCCACTTGGTAAGGAGCTAAGCTTAAGGTTATTGTAGATTTGAGTCGATTACAAATAATTTTTGAAATGGTTCGTCGGTAAAAAATTCGAATAGCTATTGGGCGCACTTGATTTTCAGCTTTTTCAAGCGCAATTTGTCGAGCACCAAAGATTATTGGTGCTAGTTTATGTGGTAATTTCCCGTTGATAATAAGATTAAAATTTTCGTTAGAATTAAGTAGAAATTCGGAACTGTCTAAACCCAAGAGGTCAATAATAAATAAGGGTCGTTGATTTAATAAGTTGTTCGGTAGGAGAGAAATTTTTAAAAAAAAGGGTTGAAGATAAATAATATAATAAAAGAGAGTAATTATTTGTTTAAATAAATAATGGTAGTTTTGTTTATGAAAAGTTATTTGAAAATTTTGTTGTGTAAATTTGTGGTGATTCAATAAAAATTAAAGTTTTTTAAAAAAAGGTGTTTAATAGTTTACTTGGTATAAAAATAAGAGAAAACTTAATTCTTTTGAAAAGGGTAAATAATTGGGAAGAAGAAAAAAGAATATATTTAAAATTTAATTAATTTACGTTGATCGAGGATAAAAAATATTAACACAGTAGTCAAGTAAAGAATGTAATATCGTATAAACAAAAATCCTATCTAATTATCTACGTTATCCAATCAAATTCCATGTGAAGGCAAATAATATTGATAGCAAAGCCTGCAGAATATACGTTTGATAATCAATAGAGTCCAATATAAAATATCAGATTCAAAATATCTACGTCCAATAATAAGCAGTCGTTCGATGTCAAGATATATGTCCGAGGAATGGAAAACTTAGTATAAAAGCTGAAATGAACAATCAATAATTAAGATATATATTATCAAAGATGATTTGACTAATCAAATGCGGATATGAACGATCCTAAACAGCACAGCAATGAGGGTATCACTAAAGGTCGATTATAATATGCAGTTTTAAAATTATTTGTGATTCTTGTTATTTTTCCGCATAGATTGTCACATGGTACCCTAGATTTTACCTGGAAAAGAGGAGCATGTTGTATTGATTGAATGATTATAGTTGTATTATTTATAATTATATATAAAATAATTGACGTGAAAAGAATATATATGTTAAAAAAAGTTATTTTTCTTTCTTTCTTTCGGAATCGTTTTGTTTTATTTTATTTTAAAAATTGTGAATTTTTATATAGTGAAAATTACTGTAGTTTATATTGAATCAAATAAAAATTAAAAAAATGTCGTGCGTCTCATTTTATTTTTGTAAGTATCATAATCAGTCCGAAAAATAAATAATCAAGGAACAAAACGAAAAAAAATTCCTTTCTATCAAAGGTAGATTTTAGCAAACTAACTTCATTTGCAAAAATTCATAAAAGTTCAATAGTTGTCAAAAACCTGTATAAGTCAAAATTTTAAGACTTGGATTGGCCTGGATATAAAAAAATCTATTTTTAGCCTGGCCCGCGATTTTTTTTAGAAATTTTTTATTTTAGCTCAGTCCGGATTGTTATTTTTTGAGCCTGGTCCGGAATTTTTAAAATTTCGTCATCTCGAATAACTATGCAAATTATTTAAATGGGAAATTGAAAATATGAACAGTAAATAATTATAAACACTCCATTATATGACTTTCCAACTGTTCAAATTTTTTAAATAGATCCAGCCCAAATTTTTATTTCCTTAAAATTTTTAAGTCCGGACTGGCTTGGGTTTATAATTTTTTTTTTTAATTTAAACCCAGCCCAGATTTTTAAAATCATAATATCGTGGGTCTCTGATAGTTGCATAAAAAGGTACTAGAAAAATTTATGTACTTCTTAAAATACGGATATAGTAAATCTAGTCAAAATGAATATTATATATAAAGTGGAGGCGGAAATGAGGAAGAAACTTTCGACATTAAGGAGATCATCTCTAAATTCAATGCTAAGTGCAAATGTTTGATGTTGATATGTGTCTATGATTTAATAAAGTTGGTATGATTAAATCAAATTAATTTAAATCACGATTTAATCAATAATTTTAAGATTTTAATCAATTCTCTTTTTTGTTGGTATTTCAAATAATTACTAGTTCTTCTTTTGAAATAAAAACTTATTATACCCCATTTTACTATGGTTACATAAAATTTTAAATTGCAATACTTGCTGAAACAAAGAAAGAAATGAAGGAAAGATTCATGAGTTGGGTTAAAAGTTAACAAGGAAAAAAACATAATATATGGTAATAGGTGGAGATGAAACAGACAGCATAGACATAAATGAATAGCAGGTATCGACAATTGAAAGCTGTAAATATTTAGGTTCCATTTATAAAGTGATGACACAATTGAAAGAGAAATAAATTAAAAATGAGCCAAAGATGACTGAGGTGGAGAAATTTATCATGAGTGCTCTTTGACGAAAGAGTTCCTTACAAATTATAAGGGGAAATATACAGTCAACTATCCTATATAGTTCGGAAACATGGCCAAGCAAAGAATCAGACGAGAGAAGTTTACAGACAACAGTATTGAGAATGCTGAGAATGATAGCAGGGGCATCAAAAAAGGATAAGAAATGTACCCATTAAAACAAAGATCATGGTGAAGAGATTTAGGTGCTATGGATATACGATGAGAAGGTCTAATAACTAAAGGAAACAAGGTTAAGAGTTTAGAAGTGATGGGTAAACTAAAGAGTGAAAGACCAACATTCCAATGGACCCTAAAATTTAAGCCAATATCACAAAATATAAATTGAATAAAATGTTTGTATGAATCATATAAAATGGAAAAAGATATTAAAGGAGCTAATCATCTAAAAATATGAAGGCTAAATATTTTTAAAAAAAATTTAATTATTAAAAATGATTTTATGTTGTGGTAATCCTGAAATTATTTTTTGGTCTAATAAATTCCTATTAAATTAATTTTAGGAAATATAAAAATCTAAATATGTCAGCTATAAATGTTAATTAAATTAATATTAAACATATCTTTAATGTAAGTTTTAATAACTTTGCCTGAGGGGCTATCTTCCTCTGGGGTATATTTTAAAAATTAATTAAATTTTATTATAATTGAATAAAATATATAAAAAATTGTGATTTAATCAAATAGATAAAAAAAAATTATGATTTTTGCCAACCCTATTTAATGCATTGCTTTTTTTTACAGTTATTGTTTACATTAAATAATTGTGAAAGAGCCTTCACTAAGCCCGGGAGTCCTAAACTTCCCAATACGTCCCTGAATCAATAAAGGACAAAAGATTATGTTGTATTCCTAATATATAAATTATTTATGTAAAAATTAATGTATCGAAACCTATCATTTCTTCGTTATACAATTTATTTGACTCTGCTTGATTTTTGGCGTATTTGACGGGACGTTCTTTCTTGACTTTTTTATTTTTCTTTGAACCTGTTTTTTTATCTTTTCCAACGCCCTTAAAAAAGGTTAGAAAAATATATAAACGGAATTATTGTGATGGTGATGATAATAAAATTAGTTATATTTATGAATTTTTTGAAATATCATTTCTATTTTTGATTTACAAGTTTTAAATTAAATAAATGAGTATATGACCAAAACGCGGGAAGCACTTGACAATGCTTCATACGAAATTTTTTGTCGAGTTCCGCTGGAGTAATTATAAAAAATTGGTCGATCAGTTCAAGATTGGTTCAGCAAACTACAGATTCGGTTTAGAAATTTCAATCATATTTTCTAATATTCAATTTTTTTTTATCTAAAATAACATAATTTTTAAGGGTATTTAATATCCTATTCAAAATAGTATAAAAAACCATAAGTTGAGGAATAGAATTTGAGGAAATCATAGTAATTCCTGGAGGTTCGCATAGGTCGTTCCGGCTCAAACAAGCCCATAAAAATGTTTGATCTACTTTAATTAATAAATCCGGGCACGAATTTCTGAAAGTATTTCTTTCTAGCAATCTTCAGCTCCAACTCACCAACAATGAGAATACACACGCTACTGGAATCCGCCTTAATTGTACGATAACCTTTCTTCACATCTTCTCTGGCTGCAGAACTCCTGTAGACAGCAAGGAAGGTATAGTTTACACTGAATCGCGAAAAGGCCGAATCCTCAGGCATAACCAATGCAATTTCTTGATCCAACAAGCTTTAAAATCCACCTCACCTGGACTTTTTAGACCGATGGAAAGTGGTCTAGTGCAATTACCCTAATTCCATAGAAACGGGGCTAATTCTAGTATGGGACTATTTATTTATAGCTCCATTAGCCTTATCCAATTAAATTCCAACGTACTTGAGCAAAAATAACAAAATAAATCTCCAAATATTGGGAAATTTCAGAAGATCATATCTTTATTCCAATAATCTCCATAACCTTATCATTTTCATCATCAGAATCAGAAATAAATATTACATGTGTTTATAAAAAGTCGTGAATATTATGAACAAGAATGATGACAAATTACTTTATTAAAATAATATAGCTAATAAAATCATTCTGAAATAACATAAATAAAACTAAAACGTATAATTTTCTCTTTTCTTTTTCTAGAATTATTACATTTTCGACTCACTATTTCAGAGGCGTATCCAGGAATTTTCAGCTAGGAGGGGGGGGGGCAATTGCTTAATTGAGGGGGTTACTATTTTTTTAAAGTAAACAAATAATTAAGCATTCAATACAAAATAATACTATAATATGAATATACAAAATAATACTATAATATAATACGACGATTTTTATTTTTAAATTTTAACATAAATGTATTAAAGGATAAATTTTATGTTATCTTTTTCATAAGCCATCAATACTAAATTTTGATTACGTTGATCTTTCATCGACTCTCTAATGCTCGATAGAACTCTCTTTATTGTAGAGAAAGATGCCACACAAGAAGCCGTTGGTACTCTAATGAAGATGGCTGCTGAGTAGCATTTATTCAATTCTTTAAATGTGATGATATTTTTTTATATATAATATTTAGGTAGTGTTGCGTAATCGGCTAATTTTAGCCGACTAAAAACGGCTTAGCCGAGATTTTAGGTGGAAAAATCGGCTAAGCCTAATTAGGTATAGCCTAAAAATCGGCTAAACCTAATTAGGCTAAGCCTAAAAATCGGCTAAGCCTAAAAATTGGCTAAGGCTAAAAATCGGCTAAGCCTAAAAATTGGCTAAGCCTAAAAATGGGCTAAGCCTAAAAATTGGCTAAAATAAATTAGTCAAAATTCTGCATCGATGCTTATAGCATTAATTACTATTTATTTATTTTAGTAAAATAATTTATTTTATTTATATTTAATGTAAATATTTTATTATTATCAACAAATAAACATGATATGATTTAATATTTTTTATTTATATTATTATATTTTGAAATGAAAATAAATTTATTTATTAGATGTTTTTTTAATAAAAAAAATAATATGCTGCTATATTGTAAAAATGTAATATTCTTTATAATATAATTTATTAGTGATTTTCACATCTTTGTAAATACATCTTTTATTGAGGAATTATATTGTAAATTTTATTAGATAAATAAACAATCTTTTAGTGAAATCTTTTATCATTTTTTTAAAATTATCTATTTATTATTAAATGAGGTGGATTTTATGAAACTTTTTTGATGTTATTTTATATGATCTTTTTAAGGATAGTATTTTAATGTGAAAATTGTCATAATCGTTCTTTTATAAGTTTTTTGAATTTTTTTGAAGAAAGTATGTTAAAATAAGTATTAATAATATGTGTAAATACAAATTTAGTGAAGATGTACCAATGAAAAGTGACAATTGTCATAATCGTTATTTTTAAAGTTTTTCGAATTTTTTTGACGAAAATATGTTAAAATAAGAATTAATAACATGTGTAAATATAAATTTAGTGAAGATGTACCAATGAAAAGTGACAATTGTCATAATGGTTAATTTTAAAGTTTTTTGAATTTTTTTGACGAAAATTTGTTAAAATAAGTATTAATAACATGTGTAAATATAAATTAAGTGAAGATGTACCATAGAAAAGTGACAATTGTCATAATCGTTCTTTTTAAAGTTTTTTGAATTTTTTTGACGAAAATATGTTAAAATAAGTATTAATAACATGTGTAAATATAAATTTAGTGAAGATGTACCAATGAAAAGTGACAATTGTCATAATCGCTATTTTTAAAGTTTTTTGACGAAAATATGTTAAAATAAGTATTAATAACATGTGTAAATATAAATTTAGTGAAGATGTACCATAGAAAAGTGACAATTGTCATAATCGTTATTTTTAAAGTTTTTTGACGAAAATATGTTAAAATAAGTATTAATAACATGTGTAAATATAAATTTAGTGAAGATGTACCATAGAAAACTGACAATTGTCATAATCCCTATTTTTAAAGTTTTTTGAATTTTTTTAACGAAAATATGTTAAAATAAGTATTAATAACATGTGTAAATATAAATTTAGTGAAGATGTACCAATGAAAAGTGACATTTGTCATAATCGTTAATTTTAAAGTTTTTTGAAGAAAATATGTTAAAATAAGTATTAATAACTGTCTTAGTATGTAAAAAAAATAGATATATATATATATATAGATAAGCCCCAAATGTCAATCAGATGGATTGTAGACATCTGATTGGTAAAAAAGAATTATTATTATGTAATGTAAAAAGATAATAATTATTATATAATATATTTTTTTGGTAAAATTAAATCATTAAAAAAAATTGTCAAAGTTTTAAAGGAAAAGATTATTATAAGAAATAAAGAAATTTTGAATAATTTAAATAGTATTATGTTATACTTATTCTATCGTTTAATACAATTCAATATCAACTATGGGTATCCAGAATACACTTAAAAAGTGGTGCCGTGACCAGGATTCGAACCTGGAAATTCAAGGGTATTCATTATTTTAAGGTAAAAAAATAAAACTTTTTTTTATTTTACATATTATAGGTTACCTTAGGACACAACGCAATAATAACGTTTTTGTGGTTTAAATTTTTTTTTGTGAATTTTAATTAACAAAGTAGTTTGGAAAAATATTTTTTCTTTTTGTAATAACGTAATTTTAAAGTAGAAATTTGTAATATGCGATGGTTGTGTATTTCGATGTATTCTGAGCCTACTTTTATTTAATAAAATTGCCATCTTTAAGGATATGGGTTATAAAATCTTGTATCAGAACCTTAATGAATTGGATATAGGTCATCACTTAGTTACATTAGGATTAATAATAATTCTATATTTAATATATATACTTTTGAAATTTTTATGTGGAAAATGTACTTTGGTTGCGACCAAGGTATATGGTAATTGGAAAAAGGACACTCTGGTGTCTGTTAATTGTTTTAAAAGAATTTCGGACTTGGAAAGTAGTTTAAATGGAATTTTAAATGAAATCAAGAACGGCAAACCAGGAATGGTTGAAACGATGAAAGATAATATTGATGATCGTTTGGAATTTATGGAGAGATCAGTGGTTATCCTCCAGGAATTAAAAGATATAAAAGAATCTATTAAAGATATTTATAGTGATGTATCCAGGTTGATTAGTATGAATAATCAAGGGGATAAGAAACAATTCGGTGATAGAATTATTTCGAATGGAAAGAGTTTTCCAAAAATTATTGCTGACTAATTTGTAATCGGTGATGTTACAAGGGTCATTATGCCAAAACCTGTATTGTAAAGGAACAGAATTTTAGAATGGGTTTTCCATTGCAAAAATCTAGTGGAGAAAATTCCAACGTAAGGAAGATTTCAGGACTAGATGTAAATAAAGTTGATTCGTTGAAATCGGATTTGGATGGGTCTCGTTTATGTTTTAAATGTAAAGAGACGGGACATATAGCTATAAATTGTGCTTTACGCTGACTATATGATAGCAAATGTAATCATATAGCAGTTGGAATACAGGGAAATAAAAATTTTAAGAAAGTATATTATAATAAAAAGAGATGGGATTCTCATAATTTTAATGGTTTTAATGAAAATGTTTGTTATCATGAAGATAAAGTTAAAACGGATTATAGTTTTAATGTGAATATAATGAAAAATAATGCTTTTAAATGGGAAGGATTTCCTGGGAGCATTGTGAAATATACAAATAGAAAAAATGTTGATAATTTTAAATGGGAGAAATATCCTCGGGATATTATGAAAAAATATAGTTATATTAGTAAAAAGCCTCGAAATTCTGAGTTGAATTTGGGAGGAAATTTAAATTTTAATGAAATGCATATTTCAGAGGGAATATATAGCGATCAGCCCTTTAAAACTTGTGAAATTTTAAGGACTGATGGAATAAATAGACTGGGTCAATGTCCTAGGGTTAACTTGAGAATTGACTGCAGGTATATTGATATGCTATTTGACACTGGTGCGAGCATTTCGATAATGTCTTGTGAAAATTTTCTTAAATATTGGCCTAATGGCGTGATTAT